CTAACAATTATGTATGGGGTTTTAGTGTTTTGAAATAAAAAAAAACTGTCAGTCCTTACAGAGAGCGAGGGATGGACAGACACCAGGAGACATTTTATTCAACTAATAACATTCAGTGGAAAAATTTGCAGAAATATTTGAACAGAAAAATAAGCAAAATCACATGCCACACTCGTGATTGGATTTTTTTAGTTATATTGTCATTCTAGATTGGATGGCAGTTGATGACTTACTTACGCCCCGTTACTCTAAATGGAGCATAGATAGGTCGTCGATCAGGTTTCTCCAACCAACTCCATCCTGGGTTTCGCTTTCTAGTTCTTTCTAATATTTGTTCATTTTTCTCTTGTCTTTCTGTACTTCTCGGCGCAATGTTATTTGGCCTTCCTCTGACCTTGAGGGTTCTAATAAAGAGCTTGGTCTTGTGACGCAGTTGTGTGTGTGTCTCGCAGTGTGTGTCCTATCCACTTCCACCTCTTCTTCCTGATTTCCCTCTCCATTGGAATCTGGTTTGTTCTCTCCCACAGTTCGTTGTTGCTGATGGTATCTGGCCAACGAATCCGAAGTATTTTGCGTAGACAAAAGGTTAAGCAATACTTGTATCTTCTGGATGATGGCCTTAGTAGTTCTCCATGTTTCCGTACAGTTCCATACAGTAGAACTGTCTTGATATTTGTATTGAACATTCTGACTTTGCTGTTGATTGGTATTAGTTATGAGTTCGAGATATTTTCGAATTGTAGAAATGCAGCCCTTTCTTTGCCGGTCCGCGCCTTCACATCATAGCTGCTGATGAACTTCCTAGAAACTCGAGGTCATGTTTGACTCTAAACTAACGTTGGAGCAAAGCGCTCATCCCATGCATTGTTCTCTTGAGTACAAGTTGTAGTGTGTGTGCAGACTGAGTAAGCAGCGCTGTTGTTAAGAAACGAGTACTAGGTAAGGATGGCAGATCAATAGATGAAGTAGTGAAACCTCACCATTTGACCTGGTTGAGACGTGCGTTGCGTATGCCTAACCACCGAATGCCTCGTCGAGCGATGTAGGAATAAGTTGGAAGAAAGCTAAGGGAGGCCAAACCAAAACATGGCAGTCACTAACAAGTGGACTGAGTCATGTTGGTAGATGTCGACTACCTGGTTGGAGTCCGCGAGACGCAAGTCACCAACGGTTAGAGACCTTGAACGACATGGCTCAGAATCGTCCGCAATGGCGCAGGTGCATTGATTCTTTGTGTTCTCTCAAATCCCAAACTTTTTGATTCTTCATCACTTTATCTTTCTCTTTTTAAGTCTTTTTCACAAGATCCTACTTCTTGAATATCTTATAATCCTACTGCTTATACCTCTACTACTATTGGATTTGAATCGACAATTACATCTCTGCTAATGGGGTATGGCAACATGAACTGATGTACGTACGTACGAAGTTCTACGTAGCTATTTATTGACTGACCGCTTACGTAGCATAGCCCGCTCGATGACAAACATTCTTATTTTCTGTTCTAGCCAATTGCTGTTCATTCTTTTGAT